TGCAGAAGAAGATGGACACAGAAGGTGTCAAGGTAGCCGAATTCTCATGGAAGTCTTACATAAGTGATGCCTCCAGGGCTGCGACAGCTCCCATCAGAGACAGGGCAGTGTGGTCCAGGAGCATAAGGGGAATGACCTGGGATGTGGCTTGCCAAAGGCAACTAGAATCTGCATTTACTGACCAAGTGACCCCTCAACCGTGGAGCAGAGGAAGGCTGGCCAGTAGGTGCCTGGGGAGGAGGGAAAAGTAGATTCAAATGCACAGTCCTTTGTGCAGTGCAGTCTTACCTGGGTTTTGGCCTGGGGTGAATCCAAGCAGCCTGCTCTACAGCCTTCTGCAGAGTGAATGCAAGTCCCAGGGGAATGGAAGTAAGTGAGAGGAACCAATTCCTGCTAGGTCCAGAATTAAAGGAGCCAGCAGGGCTGAAAGCTCACCTGTCTTCTGTCAGTTGTTAGAGACCTAAGTATGATCCTATTCCACTCTGCCCCTGGAAAGACTTTTATGCCAACGGTGGCTGAGTCCTCTCCCTCCTTAACTCTGTTCATGACTTATGCTGCCACCTTAGCCTGAAGACTTACAAAAAGAGATTTCTTACCAGTTTTTCAGTGTGGAGTTGGAGCAGACTTAGACATCTAAATCCCATCATGTATTTGCCTGATAGGATGGAACAGAATCTGAGCAGCAGAGTCCAGCCTGACGGGGCAGAGGGAGCAGGTCCCGGAGTGAGGAATGGAAGCAAAAGTCCTTCATGCTCTTGAGTTACCGTGGGAGAGGAGTATGAGCAGTATTGGGAAGGCCCACACAGGCAGGATAGGATGCTCATTGTATTGGAAGATGAGGGAGGAGGGACTGGGGTAGCTAGGAGAGCTGAGGGCTGGGAATTCAGTGATGTTGGCAGAGCTAGATGGATGCAAAGTGGTGCAGAAAACAGGTGGGAAGTAAGGGCCCTGCAGTGAAGGGGCTGCTCCTGACCTAGTTGCAACACTTTAATGAAGTAGCTTGCTTTATAAGTGAGATGCGTGGGCTTGGAACAGGGCAGATGTCCTACAGGTGATGTGCAGAGTCCACTGGATATAGCAGGGGAAAGAAAGCCAGGTGCCCTGGAGTCTGGCCCTTTCCCACTGCCCTGCTCCCTCTCGCAGTGCTCAGTTCAACCTGTGACAACAGACATGCTTGTGCTCCAGGGCTCAGCCACAGAGGAGGGAGAACTACAACTAATTGCTAACAGGCTGCAGCTGTGAGGACCCTGGGGCATAGAGACCGTTTCACAGCAGCAAGGCCCTGCTGGGAGTGTTCGCATGCTTGCTTTCAGTCCTGGTGCATTCATCTCCTTGCTGGGAGCAGGGCCGGCCACGAGATGGCAGCCCAGCACCACTCACCGGAGAGCTGGCCAGCTGGGAAGGGTAGGTTGAAAGCAGCAGGGAAGGACTGTAGAGAGACCCCCTCCCCTCTTTACCTATGGCTCTAGCTGCAGAGCCTGCCTTCCTGCTTCAAAATGTGAGCTTCCCTCTGCTTCAACCCTTCCTGTGCTTCCCTGTCCCTCAGCACCTCTCTGTCCTCCTCCCTCTTCCATCAGCAGCCTCATGCTCCTTTTATCCTGCTTCCCCCTCCACCTGGAGTTGTCCCCCCATCCCGTATGCCAGTGGCCCTCTCTCCTCTTTCTGACTCCAGTCCTTCCCCTCCTGCTTCCAACCTCCTGCCACTCTTTGGTGTGTGTCCGTATCTCCTTAGGCACCACATTTGTACCGGGGCTGTAAGGAGATGTGGCACTGCATTGATGAAGGGGCACATGTATGAGACATCAGAGGTTTCCTTGCCCGGCCATGTTTCATACCAACTATACTCTGAAAGGTGTTTGAGGTTGGTTATTGTTTCATATTGTGGCAGCATCTAGAGCTCAGCCCAGGTGAGGGCCTCATTGTGCCAAGAACTGGACCCACCAGTTGCAAAGGGCAGCCTGAGTCCCGGATGTGCAACTGCCAGGGAAGTTAGTGGAGCTCATGCCAGGTTGCAGCATTTGGGGGTCTGGACCTGGATGCATTGCTGTGTCTCCTCAGGAACATGACGGGGAGAAAGACTCTCCTTCTCATGTCCCATCCCACCATGACCACATCCTATGAGGCCAAAGGATGCTTTGCTGTCCACATTGGCAGCACTGGGAGCAAACGCAGGTGTCATAGGAGACAGGTGTGGATTGGATGTTGAGGCAGTTGGCTCAGGAAAGAACTGTGCTGTGCTCATGCCAACCCCTCCTACTGTTGCTTGGGGAGTCCATGGGGAGGAGAGCTTGTGCCCCTGGCATGCTAGGCTTCCTGCTGTGCCTATAGGGCTGGACCCCATCTCATGCCCTCGTTTGCTGAGGCAGAGCTGGCTTGCTCACACGATACCTTTCTCCTGACAGGTTCTGAGACAGTCCTGGCAGACATTGCCCTGGACCTGCTGCGCCTGCTAATGGTGGATCACTGGAGCTGGCTGTGCACAGAAAACATGCAGAAGGTGGTACACCTGCTCTTCAGCACCCTGATCCAAAGGTAAAGCCTGGCCAGTGCTTCACATGCCCAAGGAGGAGAGGGTACCTGGATTAAGCATATGCACATAGCCCAGGGTTGTCTCTAGACATTGGCAGGACTGAGTTCCCAGTGCCAAGCCCCAACTGGAGTAGAAGGCTTTGGCTCTGGGTGGAAGGACAGCATGCTCAGTGAAGGCTGCTTCCTGGGTCCCCAGTGGGAGTGCTTAACAGGTCATGGATGCATTTGGGCAGCTAAGAGTGGAATATGAGTGATGCTACATGAAGGAGGATCAATGCTAGACTCCTCCAGCATTGAATTTGGTCTCCCAGTGCCCCTCTGAGGCAAGGTTGGATTTTCTAGCTCTGTGAAGTGGGAAAATGGGGAAAAGGAGGGGGTTTGGGGGGTGACTTAGCAATGCAGTGCAGCTAGGAATAGAACCCAAG